CTTGGGTCAATAGATTCTAGTCGAATACTTGTTGTTCGTCAAAGCTTTCTCTGGTATTTAAGGCATACTACATTCTACTTCTATATAATGGTCTTTATAGTAGTATGTTTGTAGTAGAATAACTTGTTATTCTAACCTTACATAAAAGGGCATGGTAAGCAGATGCAGGGTTTAGCAGACACTGCCATTGTCGGAAGATCTGGTACAGAATTCATACTGTATAAGGTGATGGCCCCCCCTATTGAAATGAAAATGAAAATAAAACCTAAAAAATGAAGATGAATATAAAAAACTCTCTTCATCATTGGATACACAATAAAGAGTAGTATAAATGTTCATAATGACTTTTTATTGGTTAGCTTGCTCAATCTCGAGAAATTCGATGCGTAAGCCCGTTTTTTACTATGCTGTCAAGTGACATGTCCCTCTTTGTTTTTTTGTAACTGACTCAAAAATCATCATCATTGTATCAAATTTGGAGTAAAGATACACAATCATATTACCTTTCATTCGTATTAATGACACTTTACATGTTACCTTGCCATTTGTAGAGTTATTTAAAAAATAAAGGACAATGTCATGATTTCTCACTCAATTTTCATCGTTATACAATACTATTATACCAGTGTATTCTTCTCATAAAAATAGTGCAAGTCATATAATATCATTTTATTCATTAGCTTGCTCCATTACGAGAAATTCGACGCGTAAATTTCTTTTACACTATAATATCACATATGATAGATACATATATACCTCTTTATACTATGCTCAAAAGTCATCATCATTGTATCAAATTTGGAATAAACATACACCAACATATTCCCTTTCACATGCCTTAATAATAATTTATATCCATTCATTTATACATCAGTCAAAAAAAAAAAAAAAGAAACAATCATTTGCACTTTATTAAAAAAAAAAAACTAGCTAATATATTGACTAGTTTGCATAGTATCTATATTAAATAATAAAAAAAAGGTTAGTAGTATTCTTTTACTCTAAATAAAAATAAAAATAAAAAAAAAAAGAAAAAGACATTACCTAAAGGTCATGGCCCCATTACAATGCATCTCCATCTTGCACAAGAAGAAAAAAAAGTAACCACCAAGTTCAACACATTGCCTAGTTGCCACAGTATCTAAATAAAATAAAAAAGAAAAAAGTTAGTCATATTCTTTTACTTTATAAAAAAAAAAAGCAAGTCCATTACCTTAAGGTTACCACGAGATCCCTTTACCATTGGCAACATGAATAAAAACAAAAAGAGGTAAGCACCAAGTTTAACCTATAGAATAGTCTCTATAATGTAAACAAAATAAAAAAGAAAAAGAAAAAGAAAAAGGTTAGTAATATTCTTTGACTTGTAAAAAAAAAAAAAAAAAAAAGTAACTCCGTTACCTTAAGGTCAGCATAAGATCCCTTTGACATGACCAACATGAATAAAACAAAAGGAGGTAACCACCAAGTTTAACGGATAGAATAGTTGCTATAATATAAATAAAATAAAAAAAGTAGGTAGTTAGTAATATTCTTTGACTTTATTAAAAAAAAAAAGTAAGTCCATTACCTTAAGGTCAACACGAGATCCCCTTGACATCACCAACATGAATAAAACAAAAGGAGGTAAACACCAAGTTTAGCAGATAGAATAGTCTCTACAATATAAATAAAAAAAAAAAAGAAGAAATGAAAAAGGTTAGTAGTATTCTTTTACTTTATAAAAAAAAAAAAAAAAAAAAAAAAAGTAACTCCGTTACCTTAAGGTCAACACGAGATCCCCTTGACATCACCAACATGAATAAAAACAAAAAGAGGTAACCACCAAGTTTAACAGATAAAGTAGTTGCTATTATATAAATAAAGCAAAAAAAAAAAAAAAAAGTAAAAGGTTAGTAGTGTTCTTTTGCTTTATAAAAAAAAAAAAAGGAAAAGTACCTCCGTTACCTTAAGGTCACTACGAGATGTCGTTACCATTGCCAACATGAATAAAACAAAAGAAGGTAAACACCACTTGTATCATATAGAATAGTCTCTACAATATAAAAAAAAAAAAAAAAGAAGAAAAGAAAAGGTTAGTAGTATTCTTTTACTTTATAAAAAAAAAAAAAAAAGTAGCTCCGTTACCTTAAGGTCACCACGAGATCTCTTTGACATGACCAACATGAATAAAACAAAGAGAGGTAACTACCAAGTTTAACAGATATAACAGTTGCTATAGCATAAATAAAATAAAAAAGGTAAATACTTAGTAATATTCCTTGACTTTATAAAAAAAAAAGTAAGTCCATTACCTTACGGTCAACACGAGATTCCTTTGCCATCACCAACATGAATAAAACAAAAAGAGGTAGCCACCATATTTAACAGATAGAATAGTTGCTATAATATAAATAATAATAATAAAAAGAAAAAGAAAAGAAAAAGGTTAATAATATTGTTTTACTTTATAAAAAAAAAAAAAAGTAACTCCGTTACAGTACCTTAAGGTCAACACGAGATCTCCTTGCCATCGTCAACATGAATAATACAAAAAGAGGTAACCGCCACTTTTAACACATCGAATAGTTTCTACAATATAAATAAAATAAAAAAAGTAGGTAGTTAGTTATATTCTTTTACTTTATAAAAAAAAAGTAAAGTCCATTACCTTAAGGTCACCACGAGATCCCTTTACCATTGGCAACATGAATAAAAACAAAAAGAGGTCAGCACCAAGTTTAACAGATAGAATAGTTGCCATAATATAAATAAAATAAAAAAGAAGAAGAAAAGAAATAGTTTAGTAATATTCTTTTACGTTATAAAAAAAAAAGGAAGTCCGTTACCTTAAGGTCACCACGAGATCTCTTTACCATCACCAACATGAATAAAACAAAAAGAGGTAACCACCAAGTTTAACAGGTAGAATAGTTGCTATAATATAAATAAAATAAAAAAAAAAAAAAGAAAAGAAGGTTAGTAATATTCTTTTACTTTATAAAAAAAAAAAAAAAAAAGTTAACTCCGTTACCTTAAGGTCACCACGAGATCTCTTTGACATGACCAACATGAATAAAACAAAGAGAGATAAACACCACTTTTAACACATAAAATAGTTGCTATAATATAAATAAAATAAAAAAAGTAGGTAGTTAGTAGTATTCTTTTACTTTATATAAAAAAAAGTAAGTCCATTACCTTAAGGTCATCATAGATCCCGTTGACATCACCAACATGAATAAAACAAAAAGAGGTAACCACCAAGTTTAACACATAAACTAGTCTCTACCATATAAATAAAAAAAAAAAAGAAGAAGAAAAAGGTTAGTAATATTCTTGTACTTTATAAAAAAAAAAAAAAAAAAAAAAGTAACTCCGTTACCTTAAGGTCAGCATAAGATCTCTTTGCCATCGTCAACATGAATAAAACAAAAGGAGGTAAACACCACTTTTAACACATAAACTAGTTGCTACAATATAAATAAAATAAAAAAAGTAGGTAGTTAGTAGTATTCTTTTACTTTATATAAAAAAAAGTTAACTCCATTACCTTAAGGTCATCATAGATCTCTTTGCCATCAGCAACATGAATAAAACAAAAGGAGGTAACCACCAAGTTTAACACATAAAATAGCCTCTACAATATAAATAAAATAAAAAAAAAGAAAAAGAAAAAGAAAAAGGTTAATAATATTCTTTTACTTTATAAAAAAAAAAAAAAAAAAAAAAATAGGAAAAGTAACTCCGTTACCTTAAGGTCACCACGAGATCCCTTTACCATTGCCAACATGAATAAAACAAAAAGAGCTAAACACCACTTTTAACACATAAACTAGTTGCTATAATATAAATAAAATAAAAAAAAAAGGTTAATAGTATTATTTCACTTTATAAAATAAAAAAAAAAGGATATTTCAATAGTTCCTTACGTTATGTCATGTCAAGAGATTATTTTGTCGTTACTACTAGTCGTTACATTGTTGCTAATGAATAAAAGTAAAAAGGTGAATGTCAGTGTATATAAATAAAAAAAAAGAGTCAGTTGTATCGTTCATTACCAAAAGTCGTATTAACATTAATAGTAGTAAAGAAAAAAAAAGGATAAGGAAAGAGAAATAAAAAAAAAAAAAAAGGAAAAAAAAAAAAGGAGAATTGGGGCCCAGATCTCGTTTTTTTTTTTTTTCTCATAGCTATTTTCGCGTATGTACGCCATCGGAAAGGTTGTTTATCTCTGTATACATCATCTAAAAGATTGTTTATTTCTTCTTTTTTTTTTTTTTTTCTTCTGTGTACCATTCGGAAAGGTTGTTTATCTCTGTATGTATCATCTAAAAGATTGTTTATTTCTTCTGTGTACCATTCGGAAAGGTTGTTTATTTCTTCTTTGTTTGGGGGGCCGTTTTTTTTTTTTTTTGTTGATGTTACTTCTATGGGATACCAAAAGGAGATGTATATCTAATTAATGCATCATCTTTTTTTTTTTTTTTTTTTTCGTTGATGTTACTTTTGTGGGATACCAAAAGGGGATGTATATCTAATTAATGCATCATTTTTTTTTTCTTGTATACCATATGCAACGTTGTTTTACTTTTTTCTTTTTTTCACTTTTGTGTACCATCTGAAAGGTTGTTTACTTCTTTTTTTCTTCTATCCTGTCTATCGTTTCATCCATTCTTTTTTATTCTATCCTGTCCACCCGTTCATCCATTAAAAAAAAAAAAAAAAAAAAAAAAAAAAAAAAAAAGAGAATTATATTCACTTTATTAAAAAAAAAAAAAAAAAAAAAAAAGGTTCTATCTAAAACAAAATATATCATAGTATAATCCATCCTGTCAATATACGTATCATCATCCTATTCATTATAAAAAAAAAAAATAAAAAATAAAAAAATCAGTTACTTCCTTTTCACTTTACATATGTATACTGTATATGTATATAAAAAGAATCATCATTACCAAAAGTTCATCTTGACATTGTTTGTTCTAATTTGTTCTAACCAAAAGAAAGTATAGAGTTCTATAGATAGACTAGTTGTTATAGTATCTAAATAAAATAAAAAAAAAAAAGTAAATAGTTAGTTAGCATTCTTTAACTTGATAAAAAACAAAAAGAGGTAACGACATTACCTTAAGGTCCTCATTAGATTGTTGTTGCCATCTTGAATAAAAAGTAAAGGAAACGCCAAGTTCAAACAGATAGACTAGTTGCTATAGTACCTAAATAGCATAATAACATAAAAAAAGTAAATAGCTATTAGTATTCTTTTACTTTATATAAAAAAAAAAAGCTAACTCCATTACCTTCCAGTCACGACATTCCTTTACCATCACCAACATGAATAAAACAAAAGGAGGTAAACACCACGTTTAATAGATAGAATAGTTACTACAGTGTAAGTAAAATAAAAAAAAAAAAAAAAAAAGTAAATAGTTAGTCATATTCTTTTACTTTATATAAAAAAAAAGCAAGTCCGTTACCTTAAGGTCAACTTGAGATCTCTTTGACATGACCAACATGAATAAAACAAAAGAAGGTAAGCACCACTTTTAACGCGTAAAGTAGTTGCTATAATATAAATAAAATAAAAAAGAAAAAGAAAAAGAAAAAGGTTAGTAGTATTCTTTTACTTTATAAAAAAAAAAAAAAAAAAAAAAAAGTAACTCCGTTACCTTAAGGTCACCACAAGATCTCTTTGACATCACCAACATGAATAAAACAAAAAGAGTTAAACACCACTTTTAACACATAAACTAGTTATTACAATATAAATAAAATAAAAAAAGTAAACAGTTAGTAGTATTCTTTTACTTTATATAAAAAAAAAGTTAACTCCATTACCTTTTGGTCATCATAGATCCCCTTGTCATCATCAACATGAATAAAACAAAAAGAGGTAACCACCATGTTTAACAGATAGAATAGTTGCTATAATATAAATAATAATAATAATAATAATAATAATAATAATAATAAAAAAGAAAAAGAAAAAGGTTAATAATATTCCTTTACTTATAAAAAAAAAAAAAAAAGTAAACTCCGTCACCTTAAAGCCAACATAAGATCTCTTTACCATCACCAACATGAATAAAACAAAAAAAGGTAACCACCACTTTTAACACATAGAATAGTCTCTACAATATAAATAAAATAAAATAAAGTAAATAGTTAGTCATATTCTTTCACTTTATATAAAAAAAAAAAAGTCAAGTCCATCACCTTCCAGTCACCACATCCCCTTTCTCATTACCAACATCAATAAAACAAAAAAAAAAACGTAAACGCCACTTTTAACACATAAACTAATTCCTATAACATAAAATAAATAAAATAAAATAAATACTTGCTCATATTATTTAACTTAAATAAAAAAAGAAATGTCAATCAATCATTACCTACTGTCATATGAGATGACATGACCTTTTTTTTTTTTTTTTTTGTCATCACTACTACTTACTGTATTGACATTGTTGCTAATGAATAAAACTAAAGCAATACAATATATAAAATAAAATAAAATAAAATGAATATATAAAATAAAATGAATGCCTATTAAAAAAATAATATAAGTCATCTAATAGCATTTTAACGGTTAACTTGCCCAATATCGAGAAATTCGATGCGTAAGCGTGTTATACTGTCATATCACGTGGTGTAAATGTGCACTTTTCTTTTTTTTTATAATTCACTCAAAAATCATCATCATTGCACAAAATTTGGACTGAATACGTATTAAATAATTCTCTTTCATTTGTATTAATAACAATTTATACATTACCTCACAATTTACAGAGTAAAATAAAAAATAAGCGTTAATTTCATCATAGCTCACCCAATATTCAAAATCAACCAATCAAATTGCATCATTAGATTCGTCTCAAAAAAATAAATCAACAATATTAATAACGTTTTATTGGTCAACTTTGTCAAAATTGAGAAATTCAATAAGAATGTCTTTTTTACTATGCTGTAGCGTGCCATGTGCCACCTTTTTTTTTGTAACTGACTCAAAAATCACCATCATTGCACCAAATTTGGACTGAATACGTATTAAATAATTCTCTTTCAATTGTATTAATGGTAATTTATACATTACCTCACAATTTACAGAGTAAAATAAAAAATAAACGTTAATTTCATCATAGCTCACCCAATATTCAACATTAACCAATCAAATGACTACCATTGGATTCCTCTCAGAAAAATAGGCCAACAATATTAATAGCCTTTTATTGATCAACTTGGTCAAAATTGAGAAATTCAATATGAATGTCGTTTTTTACTATGCTGTAATGTGCCATGTACCACCTTTTTTTTTGTAACTGACTCAAAAATCATCATCATAACATGAAATTTGAACTAGATACGTATTAAATAATTCTCTTTCAATTGTATTAATAGCAATTTATACATTACCTCACAATTTATAGAGTTATTTAAAAAATAAAGGAAAATATCGCCATATCTCACCCAATAGTAACCATCATCCAATCAAATGGCTAGTATTAGTCGCTGTTTAAAAAAGCACTTTGACATATCTAATATCATTTCATCTCTTACATTGACACTTAGAGAGGAAAAATAAAAAAAATAAAAAAAATGAACTTATAGCCAAAATAAGAAATAAAAAAAAAGTACAAGTAAAAAAAAATAAAAAGATAAATTACAGCATGTCGTATTCCCACGTAATCTCTTACCGTAGTACTGACGACACTGTAACGAGCTTAACTGCAGAGATCAGACGGGATCTGGTGTTTTCTCGATCATATGGCCGTAACTTATACATAATAAGTGTACAGGCATTATATAGCCAATCTGAGAAATTTTCATTTTATCCTAGGAAGATTCCCCCCAGACTTTGTATTTTTCAGCGGAAATTCCTCCCAGGCTTTTGTATTTTTCAGCGGAAATTCCTCCCAGACTTTGTATATTTTTCAGGAGGAATTCCTCCCAGACTTTGTATATTTCCAGGAAGAATTCCCCCCAGAGTCATACTCCATCTCAGGAGGAATTCCTCCCAGACTTATACTTTTCCAGGAGGATTTTCTCCCAGAGTCATACTCTATCTCAGGTGGATTTTCTTTTATACCTTTCTATCGTCGGACATTCACACCTATAGGTGTGAAACTCAGCTACAATTCCTCCCAGTCTTATACTTTACCAGGAGGATTTCCTCCCAGAGTCATACTCAATCTCAGGAAGA